AATTTCACTCAATCACACTCTTGGCACCAATACAGAAATATGTGATACCTCCATAACACTGAAGATGGTGGTAGAAGAATTAAGATACTGTCACGTCACTTCACTGTCATGAAGATCTCACCAGTTCAAACATAGCAAGCCTGTTTCTGATGATGCTACCTTGCACACACAAGAAACAGCATAAAGCACTATACCAGCTTATATAAAGCACTATACCAACTTAAGCATTTGAAGTCACGATGAGTTATTTCCAAAACTGTGGTATCAYGGAATTAAGAACTGCTTAAAAGAGGGATCCAAGTGAGGCAAAATAAATAGTATTAAAATCTAAAGTAAAAAAAACACACAATTCCTACAAATTTAGAATTCAAAAGATCAAAAATATGCTGTGTAAAGACACATATAAATGGCACGCAATTCACTAAAAGCTTTTACATGCAAAAGTGGCAAGATCTGAAATGAACACACGGTGACTAAAACACACAATACAAAACATGATCATTGTACACTTCAGTAATGTACCCTTAACGATAATATTCTATTCACTACTCAACTCTGAAGAGAGGAACTAGTTCAGTTATGGGCCTAGCAACATGAATACCTGAGCAACAGAAGCAGTTCACATTTTATACTAGTAGTATTTGAGAGGAGAGCAACAAGAAATGACACAAAAATACCCACATTAACATGAAGTTCAAAAAGAACAAACTTGGTTTCAGTGTAAACAATTAATTGTTTCACGTACCCTCGTGYTCCCCAACTTGACCTTTCAATGCCTGTCAGGTTTTTAACTAGGGCCAGAACTAAATCAACATTTTCTGTCGTAGGCAAATCATCCCACAAGAAATCTAAAAGAACCGCTTCTCCTTCCACTGAAACACTGCATATTAAACCAGATCTAAATAAAGTAGTGAACTAAACTAATCATAGTGCACATCAGAAAAGATAACAAGCATTTATGATTCTAACCTGGGTCTTAGAAGTCTAGGGGTTTGTCTATGCCAGATTTCAGGCACCCACTTAGTCAAATCTCTTAATAATCTCCAAYATTTGGCTAATTGTAGTATCTCTCATGTTTTGGGTGAAGGTTTCTTCATTGTTTGCTTGTTATTTGGGTGGTGATAGCGGTAGTTTTTAAAAGAACAAAATCATCAACTGAATGCTTCAAAGCTACAGGTACATCCAAAACCTAGAGTTTTTATATCTACAGTTTGCTTTCATCTTTTGAACATAAAAACCTACTAAAGATAAACTGGTAGCATTTTGTTCTAAAGTCCTCAAAGACCAAGTGCAAGAGCTGACGTGCAAACTGTCTCTTCAATACGGCAAGTTAAGCTTTAAACTGAGACATCACCATTGCAAGTAATGTCTGAGCAGATGTATATTTAAGCACACATTCAGCCCCCAAATGCACCCGTATTTTCCAGTACTAAAATCTAAACAGCTTTCCATCTAGGAAAGACCTGCTAATAACCTTTGACAAGTGGTTATGATGCAGATGATGTCTTCATTTAAGCAGATTATGCAAATTCATTTAAAAGATAAACTTTGTGGGAGAATGTAAGTTACTTCATATCTTTAATTATTTGTATTTTTAAGTAACTCTAAAATAGCAAAGCTAAATTAGCAAACTTTTTTTCTAATGCAACTGAAGTTCGAATCTGCAATACATGAAAAGGTGAAAGTTATGACTGAATACAAGACTACATCAGTGGCACATTAAGATTTTTCCTTCTGCATTCACTTTGCTGATTCAAAAAATCATAGAATCATTCAGTGTAGGAAGCCCTCAAAGCCCTCACATATTGCTTCTAAATAGCTTAATTTTTCAGAAGGTCATCAAATGAATCCCTAAGCAACTTCTGTGATGCCTTCCAGGCATGTCTGGTTTTCTAGACAAATACATTGTGACACCAGACCTGCTCTTCAGATTAACTRTGTTAGGTGATGAAGAAATGCACTAACCTCTGAGCTGAGTGAGAATCAGCTAGATTGAATTAGCTTTAGTTATAATCACTTTGGAACACGAAGTAATTTACAAATGAAAACTGACCTATAAGCATTAATCCCATCATCACAACCCTTCCTTGCATAAGACACAATCTGTACTATGAAGTTCCACTCTATTATTTACTAGCTGCTCCCCTAAGGAAAAGCTCAATGGAATGCAGTTGCCCAGACCAGTTGAGAAGAGTCCTCAGCTGTACTAAAAACAACCATTAAAAATTGTTGTTTCTGTCTGCAAAGTACTGTCTTCTGTGTAAATGACTATTAGTACCTCATGAATACCAGTTCATGGAAAATCAAATGGCTTAAGATACACTGAATGTATACATAAATGCAGAAAAACCAACACGCACTGAAAGAACACCTGCATCTCCATTTCCTGTAACCCATCCAATTCCTGAAGTTTCCTTAATAAGAATCAGATCCTTAGTTTGAGATATACCATGTTTGCAGCTGTTTCACAAGAACCTGCACATGAACTGGTTACAACTGCACCTACAAAAAGGTGAAGATACCAGAGACATGTTCATTATACCAGTTATTCTATCGGCATAAACCGGTTTTCACCAAAGGATTGAACCAAACTTCAAAATAGATTCTTGTCTTATTCCCCCCTAAGATTTTTCACTATTGCAATTCATATCCTCAAGCTATTTTACTCCCTGAAGGAATACAATTCCTGCCATGATGAGTCGAGCTTTTTTTGTTACAATTGCTCCAAGTTTTAGGAGCCTAGTGAATAAACGTTTTTTATCAAATGTACAGGGTAAGCCAAAGTTTCCTCATCGGTCTGGAGTTCTGTATTAGAGCACACAGCCTCAGCCTGGAAGATCCAGGTCTCGCTCAGGGGTGCAAAAACACCGTTAACAAAGCTTAGTAACACCACTGCAGTGCCTTGGTTTCAGTTTCGCTTGTACACACATGCTCAAAGCTAAGAAAAAAACAAACCACCAATTTCCAAGGTGCTCAGTAAGCAGGTCCGTAACAAGTCTCCCACCTGCTTCCAGGAATAGTTTCTGAGTGAGGCAGGGGCTAGATGCACAAGGATGGCAGGAGCATTGCTGTGCTATATGTAAACACGCAGCACTGGCCTAGTGGCACAGGTGCAGCACGGTACTTCTGCGTGCTTCCAACAGTCACTTCCTAGTCTTGTCAAAGTCAGAGAAACACTAGGAGCTCAGAGAAACACTAGGAGCTCAGAGAAACACTAGGAGCTCTGAAAAACACCAATCTACCACCTCTGCACAGGACCAGCATTCTACAATACTTTGTCATCAGAAACCAGAGTGCATGATATCCAATAATTGCCACAAAACAGAGAAAGTGGAGGGCAGTAAGACTGCCTTGCTCTCACAGGACTAAGTGGGACACACAAACTTAAGCTCAGGTATCGGTGGCCTGTTCCAAGCACTTATATCAATGTTTCAGGTACCTGAAGCCTGAGAGGCCTCAACTTTTGTCTGGTATAGAAGCATCCAAGTCACATAAATTTCTGTAAATGCAGATTCTAAATTCTATCTTCCCCACAAGATTAATGTAATTTCTGGATTTAGACAGCACTAGAAGTCATTCAGCCTGCTTCAATCCAAGTATAGTGCTTTTCTCTTTCTTTAAAGAGAAAAGCCATTGTAAAATTGTAAAATGGGCACAACAGGAAAGCTCCTAAAAAGCTACTAACATTTTTGGCAAAAACTACCTACAGCAGTTCACAGCCTTAGGCTTTAGCTCTTCTCGCAGATTTCATTTCATGATTGCAATTAAAATTATCAGACACTGTCTCTTGCCTGATTAATGTAGCATCTACCCGAAGATGTTAAAATCCCAAGAGGGGCTAAGCAGAGGAGAGTATTTGTCACCGCGCCCACTTCTCTTACCCTCCACAAGTAAGTTAGAACACGACATGTTAAGTGTATCTCATTAGGGCTTCAAACACATACATAACTGAAGTGAGCTTGGAGAGAAACTGTGGAAGGTGCTGGCGTATTATTACTACACCAGTCACTTGAAAAAAGGTTGGGGCTTTTTTTCTGCAAGCAAGTCAGGTAGGTTTTTCTATTAAATACTGAAAGCCTCACAAGTGCTGGCAACGTTAGGCCCTGAAACATCCAATAGAGAGTAGATGGAGTATGTTTTGTATGTAAATAAATCTAAATGAATTCAAAACACAAGGTAATACTTCTACTTGCAGTTACTAAATCTTCCAGGTAGTTTCTCAGCCTTCCTTGGTGACACTAATTTTGGGTGATACCAGCTAGGCAGGCACCCGGAGAAGCGACATGTTGAACTCCCGAACACCGCTCTATCCTGAGGCAGAACGCGGGAGTTGCCCGTCCCCTGGCTGAATCTCTAGGTCCCCCTGGCAGCGGCACGGCACAACACAGCCGCGCCGCGGCTCCGCACACGAGCAGGAACAAGGCGCGGGAGGCGGCACAAGGCCACGGCGCGCGGCCATCCGCCGCTCCCCGCTCCGCCATGTGCGCACACCGCGCGGGCCCCCGCGCCGGACCGGCACCGAGCCCCTCCCGCGCCCTCCTCGCGGCCGGCCGGACACAGTCACCCGCTCCTCCCTGCGCCGCTTTCCGGCCCCRCCGCCCTCCCGCTCCCCGGCCGCGCCAGGCGCGGTCCCGCTCGGCGCCCACGTGTTGCGGGGCCGACCCACCTCCCCCCAGCGCCGGCCGCGCCACGGGCCCCGGCCTAGCCCGGCCCGGGCGCTCTGCGGAGCGCGGCTGAGGGACGCGCGGGAGGCGGCGAGCAGCGCTGCCCGCTGAGGGCCCGGGGACGAGCGGCGACGCCGCCGCCCCACGAGCCGCACCGGGGGTAAACTCGGTGTGGCACGGGCACCGCCGGCCCCCCGCGCCCCGACAGCCGCGGGGCCCCGCTAGGCCGGGCCGGTACCCGCGGCCTCCCAGAGAAGGAGCCCATCGCCCCTCGCCCGCCMCCCATGCCCCCCGCACCCCTAGCCCGGGGCGGCCGTGGCCGCTCTCCGGCAGTACCTGCGCGGCCCGAGGGCGGCGGTGACTCAGGAGCAGCGAGACGGAGGCGCCGCGCGGCCGGCGGTGAAAGGACCCGCGCTCCCGCCGCTCGCGCTCATATAGAATTAACGTCACCACGTAACCCCCCCCTCCCCCGCCGCCCGCGTCTCATGGCAACGCGTGCGCGCGCCCTTGCGCCGCCCGCCCGCCCCGGAGCGCGCGCCGGCCGTTGGCCGAGGGCGGTTGGGCCCGAGCGGCGGCGCGCGCGGAGCCGCCTCCGTGTCACGCGCGGGCCGTGTGCCCGCTCACGTAGCGCGCGACCGCGACCGCGGGGAGGGCACCCACAGCGCGGGGAGAGCACCCACAGCTCGGGGAGGGCACCCACAGAGCGGGGAGAGCGCCCCACAGCTCGGGGAGAGCACCCACAGCTCGGGGAGGGCACCCCACAGCGCGGGGAGGGCACCCACAGAGCGAGGAGGGCACCCACAGCTCGGGGAGAGCGCCCCATAGCGCGGGGAGAGCGCCCCACAGCGCGGGGAGGGCACCCACAGAGCGGGGAGGGCGCCCCACAGCGCGGGGAGGGCGCCCCACAGCGCGGGGAGGGCACCCACAGCGCGGGGAAGGCGCCCCACAGCTCGGGGAGAGCGCCCCACAGCTCGGGGAGGGCGCCCCACAGCGCGGGGAGGGCACCCACAGAGCGGGGAAGGCGCCCCACAGCGCGGGGAGAGCGCCCCACAGCTCGGGGAGGGCGCCCCACAGCGCGGGGAGGGC